GGGGGGGGGGCAGGAATGGAACCTGGCCACGGGCCTCTGTGCTCTCCCATCCCTCCTTGCCCTGCCATAGAGGCTCCTGGGAGGCGGGGGCGGTGGGGGATGTGCCTGTGTGGGCGCAGTGACAGTGCTCCCCCATCCCAGATTCCCTTACCCTGTCCTACTGTAATATGGTCACCCAAACTTTTATCCTTTGTATGAGCAACTCCTGCTTTCCTAGGAGGGAGGGCAAGAGAGAGAGAGAGAATTGCTTCAAATTAATTATAACTTGTCTTCATAAATTTAAGCCTTCTGGTTCTTTGCTAACTGTAGAAGAGTGAATTACCCTTAGTATTTACTTCTCCCTCATGCTGGAAAGGGAAAGAGAGTGGTTACCAATAAAGTTTGGACAGCACTGAGTTGAGAACTGCTGTACAGTAACGCACAAATGTTGAAAGGAAACATTAAATCCCATTTGCTTTGTGTTTTCCAATATAAAATAAGGCCGTTAAATTGGTTTGCTTCAGGCCCTTGGTTTATATTGGTGACCCCGTGTGCCATGTCATTTGACAGAGGTGTGTAGGGAAAGGGCAGCACACTGTCATTGTTGCAGCAGTTTACGGTTTCACGGGCAACTAAACCATTCTGAGCTATGAGAATTGTTTTGTTTCAAGCAAGACTTGTGCTACAGTGGATTTAAGGAAAGGTGTTTTATCTCCTTCCTTAGCACCAAAGTTTTGGTGAGGAAAATGCCGAAGGAAGTGGGAGTGAATTCCAGTATCAAACTTTAAATTCCAACATTTCCATTTGAAAGGCATAGTGTTGTTGTTTATCTAGTACCCATAAATATGATCTATGCATCAGACAAACAAGAAGGATTCTCACCCTGTGAGGTTTATAGCCTAAATAGATGGCATACAACTGAGGACATGGAAAGTCGCACTTTTTCCCCTTGTACATTTCCCCCTATTATGGTCCTGCTTCACTTTTGAACTTCAGCTAATCTCTGTTGACAATATACTCTTTACTGCAGTTGGCTGACTTTGGCACTATAATGCTGGTGGCCAACAAATATTATAGGTGACCTAGCACTGCAATCAAAGTCAGATTGTTTGCCTTGGAAAACCAGCCTATTTATTAGGCTTTTTAAATCCATTTTGAAATAGCTGTTTGTCTTTTAATCCATCCAGGTAATTGAAACGAAGAATGAAATGGATTTGGACCGTGATACCGATCTAGCATACAACAGTCTGAAGGTAAAGCATTTTACAATGGGAGATTTATTTCTTGTGTTCTGTGCTCATAGCCTTTTGGAGAGCTCAAAAAGCCTAAGTAAATCTATCTGACAGTGGTAATAAAGCAAACCCTCTTTCCACTCACTCTGCCCATTAGAGACTGATCTCACTGAGTCGGTTTGAAATCTGGCTGCAGGTTGCTGCCCAGTCCTGGGATGTGCTTTGATTCCAGTGGTCAGGAAGAAGGCAAATGTTTCTAATTGGTGTGCCGTCTGCTCTGCCTGTAATAGAGCCTGTAGCAAGGCTGAGTGGCAAGTGCTGGCTTGGCTGAAATGAAGGGAGCATTTCAGTCACTGGCTGCGTGCAGATGTATATTTTTTTTTTTAAAAGACCCATGTTTTACTAGAAGAAGGAACACATTACTTCAACCTGGCTCTACAGCATCTGTAAGGATTGGGCACTTCAGCCGGGGTTTTTTGGTGCTTTTATCTAATAGCCGATGGTCCCCGTGTATTCAGCACTCTTGTTGCTTTGCTCTGCACAGGATTCTGAGATGCCCTTCTGTAGTCTGTGTGAGCATGTGCATAACCTGGGAGCCAGGCCATCACAACTCGCACACAAATGCTGCTGGGCAGAGTAGCTGAATAAATATCGGCATAGGTATCTATGGGGTGACGTTAGCAGAAATAAGACTTCCTTTGAAGGGTTCTGGCATTTTTATTTCTTTAGTTCCAAGGGTGCCCTGAGCAAAGCTGTCAGGAAACGAGTACGTCTGAACATGGGAGGGTGCGGCAGCAATTCTTTCTGTCCTCGCTAAGGAATGCATGAATGAAAACATTTGTGCAGGATTGGCTGGTGTTCAGTGTTCATCATTAAAGCTGTCTGCCGGCCTGTTTCAGGAAAAACAGGCTTCTCTTCACTGACTGTTAGAGAGAGAGAGAGATTCCCATTTGTGTTTAGTTTTTCAGGGTTTCCTGTAGGGGAGACTTCTGTGTTTTGGGGCAATTGCTTGTGTGTGAGTGCTGCTGCATGCATGCTTGTTTTCCCTGCTAAGTTAGAGTATCCTTGGAGATGTGCTTTAAAAACATTTTCTTCTAGTACAGAAATTAATTTGGGATCTTCCTCTTCTGTCTGGCTCTTTGAACAAACATGGAAATATACTCAGGAAATCTTAGAGAGACTTCATTAACTAAGCTGTCAGACAGTAACCTAGATGATGAGAGTATCTGTTTCTACAGTTTGTATCATCTCCCAGGTTAAGGCAGAGAGACGGAAAAGAAATGAAGATCTACGGTATGTCTCCTCTATAAACACAACTCTCTGGAGCATTGTTTTCTAGGGCTTTGTCCAGGACAGTTTTCAGTGATTTAGGCAATGGGGCTTCTGTTTCCTTCAAAGACGCTGTTTGTCAGTATTGGTGTGTACAGAAGTTGCTTTTTTGCCATTTAAAGCACTTTATTGCTGTGACTGAATGGAAGTACACAGCTTTACAGCACTTTAAAAATGGGTGCAACTCTTTAAATTAACCCTTGTTAAATGAGGGGTTGAATTTGAAGCACTGTACTTTACAGCACTTCAGCAACCTATAGCATTTTAAATAACTTCTGTATGCTGGTCAAACTTCTGACCAGTGGAGAAGCCCCAGGAGGTTGTGGAGCAACCCCTGCCTCCTAGCCTGGAAAGTGCAGGGAGGCTCAGAGCCCACCCCAACCCCACCAAACGCTGCACTTCTGTCATGTTTAAGAGTGAGGTACCTTTATAGTGCTCTAAGTGCCCTAAATTACAGCGTTGTAAGCCAGGCACAGAACACTTCTGTATCCACCCTATGCGCCTACCATATCTCATTGCTGCTTCTCAGAACAGAAGCATGAAAACAGACCTCAAACCCTGCCCCAGTTTTTCTTACTGGTTAAATGCACAAAGAGGAGTTTTTAAGACACATAAACTATTAGCACAAAATTCTGTTGTGTGGAATGAGTAAGTCATACAGTTCAAAGCTGTGTCTATTTTTCTAATAGCTTTTGGGATCATAAAACTAGCATGAAGTCTCGCACTTACTTTTGTCACAAATTTCCTGACACAAGTTGTAATGGGCAACCGCAGTTCTGGGTTTTCCAAACTTTAGAGTTTTCCCTTTATAAACCATACTTTTTAAAGCAGTTGTACGAGTGAATAGTAGCATTATTTTCAAAAAGTCTAAAAGAGTTTCTCAGGTTTGTTCAAAAACTAGTGGCAATTGTATTTCTAGCAAACTGTAATTGGTTGTGAGTGTTTTGGATGTTGGTACTGTGTGATTGCTACTTTTTAAGATCCCAAACTCAGTTTCGTCCTCTGCAAGGTAGAAATATGAACTTAAGGCTGCAATTGTCCAGTGCCTCTTTACCTACGAGAATGGGTCTCTAACTTCATTCTGTCAATGTCCTAGTAAAAGAAGACGAGATCCCCTCTCAGATCTAATCGCTGTCCCAGATTAAATTCTGTTTCTTATTCTACAGGCAAACAAGGAGGAGGACCCTTGCTTGAGAACAAGTTACTTAAGTCCAGCAAAAGTGTTTCATTTTATGATCTCATGATTTATGACTAGCAACTTAATAGCAAACCGTCAAGCTGTAGAATGTAACACCTTGATCACTTACCTGCATTAGTGATGTTTCTGTCTAAAAATTGCTACGGTGCCTGCTGAAAGCAGGGAGAGAGAGTTTCATGTGAGATTGCAACAGGACACATCAACTCCTACAGGCAAAAAGTTTTTTCCCTGGAGGGCTGGCCTAACAATACCCTGTTCTGAACTGAAAGAGAGAGGGACAGAAATATAGGTCGCTGGCATTTTACCCAGCTTTGAGTGTAGTACACGGTTACCTGCCAAAAAAGCTCCATCTGCAATGAAAGCACCACTGTATCTCCATTTGCGTGCTCTTCCCCATAGCATCTCCTTGGCAGGTTTTTTCATGATATTCTTCCTCTCAAATGCTTTTCCCTAATAATTCACTTCTCAAATATGTAAGGTTTGTCTCCTTATTCTTTCTTTTAAGGAAGTACTGTAATTAGAATCACTTGTCTGGTAGGCCAGCTCAAGAGGCTTAAAAAGTCTTCAATGTGTAGAGGCAGTTTTTTATTAGCTGAAGCTCATGATTAATGCCTGAGGTGTCTGGAACCTGCACATCGATTATTAATATGAAGGAATTTCAGGCATTAGAAAGAATGGGAGGAAATTAGCATTATTGTATTATTGGCGCAACTTTGCTTAGAATTGGTGCCAAGATTATCCTTTTAGGACCCATTGCCTCTGAAACAATCTTGTCCTGACTTGCTTTCATCAAAATAAAGGCAGAGAGAGGTTGTCTTGCAAATGTAATGCTTCCAAACAGCAAACCTGAAATGGGGGAAGAGCCAGTATCTGCTCTTGTAGAGATACCTGTGCAGCTAACCTACAGGGCAGCAAGAACGTCCATACTTTCTCTTGTGTCCTGCTATACCGCAGCCTATAAATCCCATCCTCTTTGTCAGTGGTTGCCCAGCCTCTGTGTGCTGGGGACGACTATCAGGCAGGTTGCAGGAAGGGGGCCCTGACACCTTTTAGAGTCCAGTGCGTTTTCCTTACCCTTTGTAATCTGAGCTTTTGGCCAAGGTAAAACCCAGAGGTTGTGTTCATTTCACTGATTGAGTCTCCTCCCGGTGATGAACACAAATCAGGTACCAGCCTTTGATGGAGTTGATCTGGGACTTTCACTGGGTCATTTATTGCCCTGGGCTGGAGTAAATGGCAGTCATTGCTGCATTTTTCTCTCATGAAGAACCAGTACTATCATATTGTGCAGGTGCTCCTGCGTCTTCAGGATGTCTCTCTTCCCTTTGCTCATTGTATAGGAAACAGCTAAGATGAGAAGACTAGGATGCAGGTTCATCATTGTACAGCTGATGCTCAAGTCTACATCTGTTGGGGCCCCCAGTTGACTGGCTTTCCCCACACATGGCATAAATCAGTATCTGGATGAAAACTAGCTAGGTCAAAGTTTGTCTGAATAAGACTGAAATCATTCTGGCGGCTGAGAAGAGAAACCTGAGAGTAGTCCCAGAGATACCTGCCCCCTTCAGAAGGTTTGTCTGTATCTGATAACTGAGGTTCCCAGCTACTAGCTTAGGTGTCTGTAATAGTGGTAGCTACAACTTGCCTTCCTCTGTTTATTTTCACTTAGGAAAGGGCTGGATCTAGTTTTGCAACCCTTTACTCATGAACTGGTTACCTAATTATTGCAGTGGAATTATCCTGCACATTCCCTCGTGATACGGTTGAAGATCACGGGGAAATAAGCTTGTACAAAATGTTTGCCAGTCATTTGCTTGGCAGTATTTCATACAGGAATCATATCATATGGTACCAATGATCTAGCACCTGCACCGACATCTAATTCACTTCTGGGTCCAATTCAAGGCATCAGTCTTGACCTGTAACACCCTTTATTCAGAGGCTGTTGTGTAATTTAGGCACCATTTCGTACTGTAGTGGCAGGAGGCACAGGCTCTTCTCATCACAAGAGACCTAACTCTGGAACATGAGCTTTCCCTCGGATCACGCCAGGCTCTCGAGGAGCAGTAGGCCAAGGTGGCAGAGGCCTGCCACATCGGGCAGTTTTCTTTCACACCAATGGCTGTCAACCATATTGGACTCGAGGCACCCCTCCAGAGCTCTTGTGGGTTGAGTGGCATCCAATTTCAGGAGCTAATTTGTAGATTACAATGCTTTCGTCTTTGTAGAAAGTCTGGGCCGTCGGGATCAGCCAGGCAGGGGCAAGCCTGAACCTGTGCTTATCTCCTCACACTTGAGGCACCCTTCAAAGGGTCTGGTGGCACCCCAGGGTGCACTGGCATCCTGGTTGAAAATCACTGCACTGGGTTTTTGTTGCCCCTGCTCCTAGAGAAAAGATAGAAAAACCATGCTAATGGAAACAGGCATGTTTTTCTAGTGGGCACGTGTTGGTATGTATTACAACGTGGCAAAAGTCTGCCAGAGCTTGCAATGG